ACAAAAGACAAAAAAAATGGCGGTGTATCTTTCCATGTTCTAGAGGAAGATTCATTCTCAATTTGGACATTTGGAGAGTACTGCAGCGAGGCCCAATGCGGCAGTGTATCTTTCCATGTTCTAGACGAAGATTCATTCTCGATTTGGTCATTTGGAGAGTACTGCAGCGAGGCCCAGTGCTTTCATTCCAGTTCACGGAGGACAACGGACAGTAAGCCAACAGCAAGCCGACTATTAACCGAGAGTAAGCCGACAGTAAACCGAGAGCTAGCCGACAGTAAACCGAGAGTTAACGTACAGTAAACCGAGCGTAAACCGAGAGTAAGCCGAGAGTAAGCCTAGAGTAAGCCGACAGTAAACCGAGAGTTAACCGACAGTAAACCTAGAGTACTGAGAGTAAGCGGACAGTAAACCGAGAGTAAGCCGATTATTAACCGAGAGTAAGCCGACAGTAAACCGAGAGTAAGCCGACAGTAAACCGAGAGTAAGCCGACAGTAAACCGAGAGTTAGCCGACAGTAAACCGAGAGTTAGCCGACAGTAAACCGAGAGTTAGCCTACAGTAGCGCGAGAGTAAACCGAGAGTAAGCCGAGAGTAAGCCGATTATTAACCGAGAGTAAGCTGACAGTAAACCGAGAGTAAGCGGACAGTAACCCGAGAGTAAAGCGAGAGTAGAAAATTTTGGATTATCCATTGGATTATATCCAGGAAAAAAAACAAAAACGAAAAACAATCTCATGGCATGACGAAAAACCTCTGCCTCTCTTCAAACGCTATGATCTTTCCCCGGGGTAAGTACGATAGCTTGACTACTCTCTCTCTCTCTCTCTCTCTCTCTCTCTCTCTCTCTCTCTCTCTCTCTCTCTCTCTCTGTGTGTGTGTGTAAGTGTGTGTGTCTGCGCTTTGCCCGAAGCAAACAATGCCGACAAAAGAGATGCGCGAGAGGACAAGAGGTGTCTTCAGCAACATTCAATCTGCTTGGCAGTTGCTCTTCGGGTGGGGGACTTATCAGAGTACCATTGCTGTCTCTTATACACATCTAGATGTGTATAAGAGACAGCTCTTAGCCCACACTGACCTGAGATATATATGATCCCGAGTTGCTACCACCTCGACCTTCTCCTTGTATTTTCCCTTCAAAATGTAGATAATTGTCGGTCGAGTGTTTTTCAGGGGTACGGAATCGATCGCCTCCTGTATCGTTTCGTAGTCCGGTTCTTCTCCATTCTCCCCCTTTTGTCCTTTTTTCCCGACGACGAGCAATTTGGCACCCTTGATTTTGGGAAAAGGGGTCACGGTTCCCCATTTGCTAGGATGCCCCTTCATTCCAGGGACATTACCGAGCGTAGATTTCGGCCGACAACGCCGCCGACGGCGGCCACTCGATTCCCCTCCTTTGGTCGTCTTATCCTTCTCCTTGTCCTTGTCGTCATCCTCATCGGAGTCATCGCCATCGCCATGACGTGACCCTCCTCTTCTCCCACGTTGTCCTTCAGAACTTCCTCTTCCACTTCCTCCTCCTCCTCCTCCTCCTCCTCCTCCTCCTCCTTCATCATCATGGCCATAACGGTCCCCACCACTATGCTCCCCCCCTCCACCGTCGCCTTTCTCACTACCATTATCGTCATCCTCACCATCAACATCACCATGCCGACGAGTTTGTGATCCTGTTGAGCCACGTTGGCCGCACCGACATCGCTTCCGCTTACCACCATCCCCCCCACCATCGCCAGCACCCTGACCACCATCGCCACCGTGCTTGGAAGCTTCTCCACCATCGCCATCACCACGTTGACGAGGCTTGTGCTTATCGTCTTCGTCACCGCCAGCAGCATGACCATTACCGTCTCCTACCCTGGCTCCTTCGTGCGACGATCGCTGACCACCATCGCCGCCATCGCCACCATGGTCGGGAGCTTGTCCTCCTCCTCCTTGTCTTTGGCTGCTGTGATCGCTGCTGCCTCCACTGTCTCCCTCATGCGGACATCTGTTTCTCCTCCCGCCATCGCCATCGTCGTCGCTGCTGCTTCCGCCATCGCCGTGCTTTCCATTTGCACCTCCACAACCACCGGTGTGCTGGGCGCTGCCACTGCTTCCACCATGATCGCCACCTTGCCCATCGTCTCCTCCCTTTCCACTACCACCATGTCCATCACCACCGTCACCATCACCATCGCCATGTGCGCCATCTCCGTTGCCCTCACCGCTACCTCCGTAGCCGCCTCTGCCACCATGTCCATCACCACCAGCGCCGCCATCTCCACCGTCCCCACCGTGAGGGGCATCTCTCGGTTCCTCAACCTTTCTTCCCCCCCCATCGTGCGCAGGGGGGGGGGAATCATCGCCGCTCTCCCTCTTCGCTGAAGAAGACCGGATCTCTCCTTTACCAGTTCCCGACGGGGAGCAATCACACTCCTCCCCCTCCCCCTCCTCGTCAATGCTTCCGCCATAGCCATCTTCTTCAATGCAGTCCTCTTCGTCTCCTTCACCATCCCCTTCTTCCTCCTCCTCGCTATGATCGTGCTTTGGAGGAGCTCTCCCCCTCCGAATCATGCCCGATCCCGACCCTGATCCCGACCCTGATCCCGACCCTGATCCCGATCCTGAACCTGATCCCGATCCTAAACCCGATTTATCATCGCCATACTTGTCCGAGTCGTCAGGAGGCAGGCGGGGTTCGGGGAGAGCAGCAGACGAGGAGGCGGCAGGGGGGCGACGGTTGCCGTCGCTTGATTGGAAGGACTGGACCCACGAGTTCCAGTCGGGATCGGCGGTGACGTCAACGGCGTCGCTATCGCCAGATCCGTCGTCGGGCGGCGAGCTTGCAGCGAGCTCAGCATAAGGCAAGCTCAGAAAAAGGAGAAGATAGAACACCCCCACGAGGGACAGGACGCACCTACCAGAATAGGAATGACCCCTACAAAAGAAGAAAGGGTAAGCCATCATGATCGTAAATCGCAAGGGAGAACTGAATCCAGAACGAAATTTCCAAAAAAGGAACTATTTAACTTACGCATCAGAGGACTACGTAGATGCTAAAAAGATGAGGTCACATTCAACGTCTCCGATGAGCACATCTGTAACTAGCGAGAGAGAGAGAGAGAGAGAGAGAGAGAGAGAGAGAGAGAGAGAGAGAGAGAGAGAGAGAGAGATGCACAACTGATCTTCGCCTTATCCACAACTGATCTTTGGCTTATCCACAACGGATCTTTGCCTTATCCACAGAAATGGCGTCCATTTTAGGAAAAGACCATTTCTGATTGGAAAAACGCAGTGACTGGAAGTCCTGGATGTATCTGACGGCAATTACGTCCAGAGATCCGCCGAAATGTCCAAGTGTGAGTGTGCCCTTAACACTTTTCTTCCTTAAGTTCCCCTTCTTCCTCCCTCACATGCCCTTTCTTTTCCTCTTCTTCCTGGATGTATCTGACCGCAATTACGTCCAGAGATCAGTCAAAAAGAGTCCAACAAGCTTCGATCCTCCTTTTTTTATCAGATCTGCACAAACAAGCTTCATCCATTTCATCGGCTCGCTGATTAATTGAGATTAATTAATTATTTTGACTAATTAGTTCATTGATTAATTAATCTCCTCAATGTCCTCATCATCAACTGGGTACGTCACAGGTTCCAACTCTCCCCTTCCTCAGCGTCAAAAGCCATGCATGCATGCATGCATGCATGCACGCACGCACGTCTTTTGACGACTCCTGGTGCCAGCAGACAGGCATAGCCACAAAGACCTGGGGCATGCCACCTCTCTATATCCTCCTCTATTTTTATCTCCTCTTATGTACAGCTCTCGCGTCTTCTACCCCCCTTCGCAAGTCGTTGATTTGCAATTATACCCCTTCCAAGTCCATACACGCTGCCAGGAGTCCACAACGTGGTCAAGTGTCACAAATAGCCCCTGCAAAAGACAAGGGACAAATTGAAGCAAAACAAGAAAAAAAGAGGCAATCCCGTTTTAGCACGATCGTCTGCCAAAGAAATCTGAGGGGCATACTCACATCAGATCCTTGGGTGTGGGCAAGGAGACGGGGGTGCGCGATGGTTACGCGCAATCTTCTTCTTTTAAAAGTACCTTGAAATCTCGGATATGGCAGCAATCTGTATGTGTGCTGTGTGACTTTGTGATCTCGTATCACGTGCGTGTTCTCCATTGCTCTCTCTCTCTCTCTCTCTCTCTCTCTCTCTCTCTCTCTCTCTGTGTGTGTGTGTGTGTGTGTGTGTGCTGTGACTTTGTGATCTCGTAACACGTGATGTCGAGTGGTCCCCACAAATATTCAATGTTATGTGGTCCCCACAAATGTTCAATGTTGTGTGGTCCCCACAAACTTTCAACGAGGGATCACTCTCCGGTCAAGTTACCCGCGTCCACTGTCCGGTCAGGTCAGGTTGCTCCCATAGAGAGAGTGATACTATGAAAGTCCTCGAGTGAGGTAGGACGGAGGGAGGGAGGTAGGGGGTGCGCCAGGGAATATAGAGGGGTAGGATGAAGGGTGAGGTAGGAGGGAGGGAGGGAGGGACATCGATAGTATCAAAAAAAAAAAAAAAAAAAAAAAAGAGCACGACCAWTCAAGTGTCAAAGAGACAAGAAAAAAAAAAAACTTTTTTCCCACAGAACACTTTTTTTTCCTGTTTTTTTAACATCACGTAGCCGCATCTGTTCCATAAACAAAAACTTTTCTTTTTTTTTTTAGCATCGCATGTCCGGTTGCTTATCACCTGCAAGCATGAAAGTTGTCGTAAAATCAAATTAAAAAACAGCATTCTTGTTTTTTTTTTTTTTTTTTTTTTTTTTTGCCCAAGTACCCACATACATAATGCCTTTCAATCTGTGGTGAGCTGTTCTCTCTCATATCTTCAATCCGTTAAAGACGGACCCTGCATCTCGCACCGATGAAAAGGATCCAGCCATCACCATGGGAGCGCACGGCATCATTGAGGATGCTCCCTCTTATCACCTCAGGTGGTGGAGCACTCCAACCGGACATGTTTCATCCAAAACAAAAACAAAAAAACAAAAAAAAAGGGACGGACACAGCTTCCGCTAAGCTGTTGGGGCCGCGTTCGATTTCAAGCTCGGAAAAAAAAAAGAAAAAAAAGACGGACACGGAATCCGCTAAGCTGTTGCACCCCGTCGATTTCAAATTCGGCGTATCCAAATGATGATTAGAAAAAAAAAAAAAAAAAGATTAGTCCTTAGCTGGGAATAATGTGTGGCCCGGTTTACGACGAAAGCTCGATTTCGGCTTCAATGGGTTTTGCCCAAAAAAAAAAAGAAGAAAACAAAAAGGCAATCACTTATGGATGAGAGAGAAACTGGCAAAGGTTGCCAATGAGATTTAAAAAAAAAAGGAAAAAAAAAAAAAGAGAGAGAGAGAGAGAGAGAGAACTGCAAAGAGGTGCACGAAAAAGAAAAATGTTGATAAAAATAAAAGTAGAAAAGATCTTGATCCTGTCCGTCGATCTTCGTTATCACAGGACGCTCTCCTTTCTTCATTGCTTACCTTTTTTTTTTTTTTTTTTAACTAATCTATGTTCTATTATTCTTCACTCAGATACCTCACTGTAGATACGTACCTCCATATGTCCATCTGATTTTTTATCTGTGAATTTGATTTCATAGGGACGCTAAGAGTTACGGGTTGAGTTCCCAGCCATGCCACAGCCTATTCTGCTCTATGATAGGGACGCTAAGGGTTATGGGTTGAGTTCCCAGCCATGCCACAGCCTATTCTGCTCTATGAGGGGAGCAGGACCCCAGCTCCTAACACGTGGCATGAGGTGGACAGTCCTTCATTCTTTTTTTTTTTTTTTCTTTTTTTTTTTTTTTAAGTCCTTCATTCTTCCACAACCAGCCAGAAGGCGCAAGCCAATTATTACCTCAACTGATGAACCGGAAGAAGCGTATCGCAGAGGGCTGTGGGGGATCGAATGGACGACGTGGGGAATCGAACGCACGACCTCCTGAATAGCACTTAAGGGCTCAACCAACTGAGCTAGCCTTCATTTTTTCTTCTTTTTTTCCTTTTTTTTATTAGAAAGTCTCTCATTTTTTGTTCACGTGCAAGAAAGAGGGAGACCTCGCCCGTGGCTGCAAACTCAGTCGAGATGTAAGTTACGGAAATTTAAAAAAAAAAAAAAAAAGGCGAGAACGATAGAATAAGTAGAAGGAAAAAAACGAGAACAAGAAAAGATCAAGAGAGAGAGAGAGAGAGAGAGAGAGAGTCTTGGAATCAGAAAAAGATATGGGATACCAGACAGAGTGGGGAAAAAAAAAAAAAAAAAAAAAAAGAAAAGGAAGGAGAAAAGGAAAGCAGTGAATTAAAAAAAAACAGCAGCAGTGAATTGACTGACACACACAGAGAGAGAGAGAGAGAGAGAAGGAAGAAAGATTTGATACGGATACAACTCAGATGTGACAGTGGAGAGGTACCGGCTTCACCCGAATAGAACGTAACGGTCACTAAAGATGTATCTGGGGCGACTTTCAGTCTACATACATCTACAATGACTGGGCGTTCTATTCGGGTGAAGGCGGGGAAGCTAGGGGGGGGAGGAAACTGAGAGGAAGGAAAGGAGAAATCGACGAAAAGTTGAGGGAGAGAGGGACTGACTCCGGGCACCACAATGCAGCTAACCGAATAGAACGCAAAGTCATAATCACTGTATCCCGACTGGAAGTTGCCCCAGATACGGCACGTACTATTCGAGGGAATACAGTAGAGAGCGAAACTTGAATGCAGCAAAACAACAAATTCAACGCAACAACCCAAAAAAAAAACAAAAAAAAAAAACGGAATGCAACAAGAGTGTTTCTGTCCTATTTCATTGCTCTCTATCTACAGTGAGAGAGAGAGAGAGAGAGAGAGAGAGAGTGAGAGAGAAAGAGAAAGTCGAATGGAAGAGGAATAAGGCGAACAAGGCGAGAGGGCTCACCGCAGCCAAGTACAGTGAGAGAGAGAGAGAGAGAGAGAGAGAAAGAGAAAGTAGGTGACGAGAAGCTGTGAGAGAAAGGGAGTAGGAAGAAGCAGAGAGTGTGTGGGGACAGCTATCATGGAGAAAGGACCTCTGAAGCAAAGAGATGAGGAAAC